GTAGGACAGACTATGGTGGCTACGACACATGTGAAAAACATGAAACCCCCTATCTAGAGCCAGTATGTGTGTACTGTAGAAACATGGAGGTTCAACATGGCGGGCCCGCTCCCTCTGAGGATAAAAAGGGCTCATTCTAAGGTGATGATTGCTTGGTCTTTGTGTGCAGGTTCATCCTTGAGAACTGGGTGCTGGACCGTTGGGTGCGTAACATCCTGACAGTGTACCCTGTGGTGATTGTGGCCCTGGTTGGAAACATCTTGAAACATTTTAACCGAGCTGATCCCACTACGAATTCTGTGTTTATGGGTGAGTGTAACATGCCGGCAACACCAGTCCTGCTTCCATCTTTACAGCCTAACAAGCTAACCAAGTGACTGGTTTTCATCTGACATTTCTGGTGAATGTAGGAATCCTCTCTGTTCTCAAGAGCTTTCCATTTTTAAACTGTGAGTTCTGGTGGTTAATCAGATAATTTACTGTTGCATTTCTCTCTTCTTCCTCTTCTTTTGTGTCCTATCAGTTGTACTGCTGGTGTTGGCGTGTGTCTTGCTGTTTTTCCGAATCTGTACCGTCATCTGGAGAAACATCAGGCGACCTCTCCACTCCCCAGGCTCAGCGCGGCTGATGGTATCACCCCTCGACGGCAGCAAATTCAAGATCTTTTATTAAACGATAGGAACTTGTACAGTCCTGTACCCACTGCAGCCTTTTTAACTTTCAGCCACAGACTCACACTTATTCACACTTTCACACAAGACACTGCAGTGCTCAAGGATAGATTTTAATATGAAATGTTACGCTTGTGAGGTTGTTTAACTAGTCACAGATTTGAAACTGTATTTCTTTTAATGAGATGTTAAAGATTGGCTTGAAAAAGAAAGAGAAAGTGTACTAAACCGCTGCTGTTTTCACTATTTGCCAATAATATTGTTTATATGTAAAGTACTTTTTATACAGATTAATTTGTGTGATTTGATTATCATGTTTTGATCATTTTTTGGGCGCTTTAATTTTATATCTATACACTGATAATAGATACACTGTCACTATATGTTTTATGCTTTTGACTATAATTAACATTTACATGAACAATCATTTTCTAAAAGTACTTCAGAGCTTTCTTAAATTCATTCTGATTTTCCAATTAAAGCAGTCTTTTTCACATCTAAGGCAGTTTCCTGAATATATGTAAAGTCAAATGCAAAAAAATTGTATTCTGTTGATATATACCGTAGGGGATGTGTTTCCACACCATTAAACAAATCTGTTACATGGAGACCATGTTCAAAGACCCCACACATAAAGACAGTCTGAAAGAAGCGCATATTAAGGATAAGGACTGAGTAAATGCAGAGGTGCTGGCACTGATGGATCAGCACTGTTCCTTGGTGAGTGGTGACTTCTTGAGAGGTCATGTCCTACTGCTTGCACTTCACAAAGATTTAAAGTACAGTTTCCCTCATCACAGCAGCTGTAAAAATGTGTTTTAAGTGTGAAATACATTTTTTTTAAAAGATGCTAAAGGGCACAGAAAACGACTGGTAGGAGCCAAAGACAACATACTTTGACTCCACAACAAAGGGTACATTGCTGCTCCTCCAGTCTTTTTCTGGGATCTCAGAGAGCAGCTACAGTAGTCGTCCCATCCGTGTGTTTAGCATGGTACGGTCAGATGGTATTGCTTTGACTATCACATTCCCTCGCTAACTTCTTGTTGGAGACCTTATAGGGCTTTGTCTCAGTCTTTGTTGGTAAGATCTTCCAAATGCTCACAAAGAATTCCCTGTGCTTTATATTTGGCTATGGGCACATCCACTGTCACATCCTGTCACATATATGAGATTGGTGCCAAGCATGTCTGAAGATTGGCTGAGACAGGACAAAGGGGGGTGACAGTGAAGAAAATGGAGGTGAGTTACTGTGCATGAGAGCTGCTCCAGCTCAGTGGCTCTTGTCTTCAGCTTTCTCACCAGGGTAAGCCTGTGGATTTGTTTGTGATCCCAGAAGCTTTGAGTACAGCTCATGCGGTAGTAGTGTCCACAGAGAAGAGTCGCCGGGTCCTTCAGAAGAGCCAGACACACGCAGCAAGGTTTTGCCTCATCCAGCGGACATTTTCCTTTTACCGGTGGTCGGAGTTTCATTTCCTCACAATAGACAGAAAGCTATGCTTTGATCCAAACCAAAACTCTTCCTACTATTCATGTTCATTTGCTGATCTGCAATTTATTTGCAAGTCAGCTGTTGCACCTCACTGTATGTCCAACTTGCAATTCTGTGAAAGAGGAACAAGGAAATGTGTGGCCAAAATGGACAGATCGCGTTGTGTGACAGCAGAATTGAACAGGACCTGCTTTCATTCCAGCAGGAGGCAAAGCTTGAACTTGAACTGCCAGTGTGTTTTTAACCCTTGTTTAGAAAATGAAGTGAAGCATATGTCACAAAAAGAGTCAAAACACATTTACATTGTAAAACACAAAGTACACTGTTAAAAATAATGCAATGCATTTACTGGTTTGGTCTGTTGTTGAGAAGCTTTGACACAGTTTGGCTCAGATTATTCATAACTACTTCATCAGACATCATTCGTCAGATTGTATAATATAATAGTCAAACAGGCTGTGAAAAGAGTCTACTGTAAAGAATTATGCTTTAACTATTTAACTATTTTATGATCATAAATCATTAATTATAATCGTGAAATACTGCAATCACGCAGCTGTTTTTGCCATCAAAAAGATATCAACAAGGCGCAAATTACCACAAGAATACTCACTCCTCTACTGTGTGGCTGAATGAATGGAACATGAGAAGAACAAAAGAAAAACAAAAAAGGCATAAAAAGGAGAATATCATGCAGACGTGGTTAGGATAATTAAGTAGAAATGAAAGCAAGATGGAAATAACTCCTGCTGCAGCAACACATACGTGTACTAGTGGAGTAGTACAGTATGGTGGTCTCCAGCAAATGTGATAAAAGGTAGTGAGTTTTGTGCTCCAAAATAATGTGTTTTAAATGTATACCTTTTTCTATTGAGCCATTTTAAATTGAGTTTGCAGAAAGCTTTTAGTGGTGATGACGATGCATTGTTGTGTAATGCAGAAATAACTAGGCCCAGCCCTCATAAGATAAGATAAGATGTACCTTTATTCATCCACTTTAGGAGAAATTCAAAATTGACACAGCAGCACAGGGGAATGTAGTGCAAAAGAAAGAGTACAGAAGTACAACAAGATTTTACAAAATAAAATATTACAAATACACTATGTAAGAATGGGGTGCAAATATTTGAGCAGTTTGACTAAAAACTAAACTACATGTAGAAATGAAATATAAATAGTATAAAAAGTTTGTGTGTTGTAGGTAGGAGTTTTAAACCAGTCTTTGTCTGCGGGGGTTGGAAGAACTGGGTGCTGTGGTGTTGTGGAGTCTGATGGCTGATGGTACAAATGAGCCTCCAAACCGCTTTGAGGCTCGGGGCTGGGTCAGTCTGTAGCTGAAAGTTCTCCTGAGCTCAGTTTAGAGAGGATGACAGGGGTTGTCCATGATGGCTTTCAGCTTCCCTCTCATCCTCTTCTCCGTCACAGCCTCCACACTGTCCAGCTCCATCCCCACCACAGAGCTTGCCTTCCTCACCAGCTTTCTAATCTTATTGGCACCCCCAGTGCCGATGCCTCCCCCCAACAGACCACTGCAAGGAAGAGGACACTGGCCACAACAGACTGGTAGGACATCCGCAGTAGCCGAGAGCACACGTTGAATGACCTGAGCCTCCTCAGAAAGAACAGTCTGCTCTGACCTTTCCTGTAGAGGGCCTCGGTGTGATCTGTCCAGTCCAGTTTGTTGTTGAGTGTGGTTGTTAAGTAGTGGGGGACACATGGGTGTGAACACAGTGGCACCCCGAATGAATCAGATCCAGAAAACAGCACATACATACAGTGCTCAAACTAGACAACATATCTTGCCTTGTTTTCTGTTATTTTGAGCTTTACTTTCAGGCCCTGATGCTGGGAGTTTGTTTTGTTTGCTTTGTTTTTTCTGCCCTCTAGTGGTCATAATTTCTTAATGCAGATTTAATAATATTTGTAATCAATTGTATATTTTTTGTTGTGGGGAAAAAGGTAAAATCTCAATAAACATTGTTTTAAAAAAATAAACAACTATAAAAGCATATTGCATTTGTAAATTGCCTCTGTAAATGTTATAAGGAGTTCGGTCTAGACCTGCTCTATTTGAAAAGTGTCCTGAGATAACCTCTACTATGAATCGGCGCTATACAAATAAAATTGAATTGAATTGAATTGAATTTGCTTGAGAAAAAAATATTTGCTCTGTTTTTCTGAATTTATGAGGTACCTCCAGAAGGCTTTCCATTCTCAGGACTGGCTCTTAGCCCCCCTAACTATCCCATAACCAGAGTTCCAGTGGGCCGACAAAGGTCAGAATAATAAAGCAGATTTGTTTTCTTTTTTCTTAATGAAAACTTTTCTCTGAATTCTGAGATAATAATCTCATTAATTCAGGGCAAACCTTTCTCCAACACCTCATCTTTTGCAACACTTAAAGGTAAAACATCTTCTTTGATATCACTGATTGGGGAATTCAACATGCTTCATGGTTTGAATCCATATACACAGCAATGATTTTTTTTTGCTCCATTAGACTAAAAAACACAACTAAATAAATAAATCGCCACACATTCAGAGCAAGTATTCCAACTTTACAGTGCTGTTTTAGTCCAGAGGAGGAATCTGTAAGTGTGCAATAATCATATTTTACCACAGAGACAGTGGAGATAAACCTGTGCATACTAGTTTATTCTTGACCAGTGAATAGTAGTTTGGGGATGGTTTTGCTAAGATGTGGTACAACATCTGAATGTTTGTGGTATATACAAGATTCTATAAGTATTTCAACTTTAATTTATAATGGAATCTTTTACAGCTAAAGCTAAGTGGGAAAGAGGTTACAGAATACTGAATTGGGATCAATACCTAAAGAGGCTCCATTTTTTATTATTTATTTATTATTACAATATGATGAATACCATTCATAGTACCTATTTACACTAGAGGGACTTCACAGGATGAACAACAATATTACAGAAATGTGGCCAGGGGGTAAAACAGTGACCTATATACACATCTATTGGGGATTTATTAGGGACACAACCAAGACTATCACAGGGTTAATACAGCGCAGGGACACATCAGTATTTCTATGAGATACACGCCAAAAAGCATGATTCATTAAAATGGTCTTAATAGCTGGAATGGTGAGTCATCTTCCACTTCCATGTAACTCGAGGAAATAGTCTCATACAGTATACGGCCTGTGAAAAAACATAGTATGAGGCATTTGGAAAATATGCGTGGGAACTATCAGACACATTGTATTCACTGACCTATGGTAGGGAGGGAGGGATGAACCTGGGAGGGTCTTGATGGGTGAGAGGAACTATGCTTTTTGTTATTTTTTCAAACTTCACTGATGATGTCAAAATGTTCTTAGTTGATATTTTCAATATCAGAATCACTTCTGTTGGCCAGGTAAGTGTGTGACTCCGGTTTCATGTTGCTCTCATTGTACACAGAAATAGGCATACATACAGTGAATGGTAAATGGTCTTCTGAACACTTAAAACGCTGTTACACATGTCACATTCACCCACTCACACACATTCATACAGTGATGACAAAGGCCATCACATACAGAACCTAACTCATTCATACACTGATGGCACAGCATGAGGAGCAATTTGGAGTACGACATCTTTCCCGAGGAAACTTCGGCATTGAGCCGGAGGAGCTTGGGATCAAACCACCAACCTTCTACTCAGTCTGCCTTCTGAGACACAGCCGAAAAAGACAACAAGCTTGAGAAGGTAAACATACACTGCTATGTGCAGATATAATATATATACAATAACACTTGTAGACAATAGTGCAGAGTGCAAAGGATGCTGGAATAAATGTTTTTATGTCACAGATACTATACACGAGGTAGGTGGATAGGACAGTTTATACAGTATATATGTGGACCGTAAGGTTTAATGTATGTTTTAATGAAATCAACACTACTAACGTTGTCTTAAGTCATATGCACACATAATGCACATATAGAAGATGTTAAGGAAATCATGGAAATTGTATTTTGACAATATTCTATACCCATATATATATATATATATATATATATATATTCTATATCTTCTTGGGATGGCAAGATATAAAATATAGAAACACTGCTGGAAAAGGGAATTTATGTTGTTGTTTTTAGCCAATCTAACTCTCTCCTTCTCCACTCCACTAGGTGGCGCTGATAGAGCCGACCGCCAATAACTCCAAAGAAGAAGAAGGAGAGGAAGTGCAGAAGTGCGGAAGTGCACAGTAGTACTGCGGCTTGTGTCTGCTGTCCGTAACGCTCAACTTTACGTTCAGCAGTCTTTACTACCGTGTCCAACATGTCCAAAAAACCAATCTCCGACCGCTTTAGGAAAGTAGACGTTGATGAATACGACGAGAACAAGTTCGTGGACGAGGAGGACGGAGGAGAGAGCCAGGCCGGGCCCGACGAGGCGGAAGTAGACGGTCTGCTCAGACAATATCCTTTAAAGTGCACCAAGACAGCCTGGAACAGCCTGGAACAGCCTGGAACAGCAGTGTGTAACAGCTAACGTTAGCTAGCTTTAACAACAGCTGAGGGCTAACAGTGAGCTCTGGGTTGAAGTTAGCTAACGTTAGCTAACAGCTGCTCTCTGTAGTTCTCTGTAGTTTTCTGTAGTTCTCTGTAGTTCTCAGGATAAACTCGAACTGTGGGGTCGGGTTGTGTGAGACACATGTATCGGGTGTAATGTGCAGTTGGCAGAACCTGTCCGTTGAATGTCTGTCAGTCCACAGAGGGTGTGGTCGCTTTACTGCTGCAGAGGACACTACGGAAGCCCATTACGGCCAATGTGAAGTCATTATAATGAGCAACGTTGTTTAAATATGGACACAGTCACTGTTCCTCACAGGAAGAACACATGGCTGCTCACTGTACGTTGTGTCCAGCTGAGATGAGGAGTTAGGCTCAGTGTGTAGGAGAAAGTAGAGCGGCTGTACAACTGCAGACTGTTTGTGTGAACATGTGAGCACAGTTTGATTCTCTCTGTTTTTTTAATGCATTCTCCTCATTTCATCATTCAGGGAGATTTTTGTGTTCTGCTGATTTTTGAAGAGGGATTTGTCCGTGTTAATATTTCTAAAGGCTTTCCCTAACTGGGCAGGTTATTGAAGGCAAAGTTATTTAAAGTGCTGTGGCCAAAATAATGTTACTGTTAGATGAAAACTGTGGTCAGTTCAGACAGTGGAGTCCATGAGGAGTGTCCCTTAAACACTGGCCATCATTTAGGGCCCCGTCCAGTCCTGTACTGTTATGTTGTTGTACCCTGACAACAAAATGATATTCTTATTTTACTGCTCCTATTTTACTCCAACTATAAAAACTATTCAAGTAAATAAATAGTCATTTATTTTCTGATATACAGATATACAACGGTTGCTGAGTAATGTATATGTTGATGTTTTCCAATCCATGTCACGTCTCTATGTGAACGTGATGATTCAACTCAATTCAGTTTTATTTGTATAGCACCAATTCATAACAGAAATTATCTCAGGACACTTTTCAAATAGAGCAGGTGTAGACCGAACTCTTTATAACATTATTTACAGAGACCCAACAGTTAGGATATATAATGAATCTTACTTATAGTTTCCTCCAACTCCTCTGGTCTGTACAGCACTTTGGTTAACAAGGGTTGTTTTTAAACGTGCTTTATAAATACATTTGGTTTCATTTATGTTAGCTAGGCCCCATCATAAGAGCGTGCACCAGGGCCCCTTGTAACTACTGGTTAACACCACTGGTTAAATGGAATCTCAGAAACAATGCACATGAAAGATGCAAACTAAATGCGAACACTTCATCATACTTTGGATCATACTACACTGGATTCAATAGAAATCCAGATGAAAGCAGTGATAGTCCCCTACAGTACCGGGACCAGGACTGTATGGTGTGACCAGCTATTTTTAATAAGTAAGGCTTTTATCTCTCTTGTCCTCTGCTGTGTTCATTGGGCAGCCCCTTCCTTCCCATGATGCTTTTGTTGTGCAACAGTGTAGAGATTTCTCCACAGCAAATTAGAGTGAATCAAAACTAATGAATTAGTGAGAACAATACATCAGCAACAGAGTGACAGTATATAACATTTTCTGCATGTGTTGTTTGTGTAAATAATGTAATGTAATAATATGCATGTTTTATTTGCTGTTTGTTCACTGCTCCCATTACCATACCTTGTTAGACTGAAAGTCATGAGCTGCTTCCAGGCCTTTAAAATGAACGATTAAGAACACACAGACATAAATATGAGCAGATAATGGAGCGTTTAAGGGCCAGGAGCAGCGCTGGCTCTCAGGAGACGGCTAAATGAGGATTGTTCCTCACTCTGTGGTGGCAGTGTACAGAGGCAATACTCCTCATTTCTCTGTTTATTTGGTTGAAAATCCAAATGTATCTGTGTAGTCCTTAACTCTTGTTTTGCACGGGGAACATAAATGGAGCTCTCAACGCCGTGCTAAAGAATCCTCCAATCAACACCAAGAACCAGAACGCCAAGGTATGAGTTCTCCCACTGTGTGAGTGCAGAAGGTGATGGTGTTCTGTTGCAGATGGCTGTCACATTAATAATGTGTCTATTTGGTTGTTGCAAAGTTTAGGGACCCTCTTGTTCCTCTCCAGCTCTTTATATCCTCCAGTCACTTTTAGGATGCCTGTTAATTTACAACTGTACTGTAGTCTATTCTTATGTAGTTTAAATTGGATGTATAGATCACGTCTGTGTGTGTGTGTGTGTGTGTAGGAGAGGGCGGAGCTGCTGGTGCTCAGAGTGCTGAGCAGTTTTAAGAGCAGTGACATAGAGAAGGCAGTGGGCTCTCTGGATAAAGCTGGAGTGGACCTGCTGATGAAATACATCTACAGAGGCTTTGAGAAACCCTCCGACAACAGCAGTGCCGTGCTGCTGCAGTGGCACGAAAAGGTACGTAGTTAACAGGGGGCGCTACGCAGAATTTTCTTTGTCTGGAGCACAGAACTATGAAATGAAACTATATGGTTTAACTCCCCTTTTTGCTCTGTGCTCCAATAGCAGTTAAGCAAGCCTCGGTCAACTTTCTCCTGTCCTGTGCTTAGATATGCTATGTGCTAGGCTAATCTATGTTGGAAAGACAACCAAGTCGTGTTTGTGTACAATGATCACTGAGGCCCGGATATAGATAGTGTGTAATACAGAAACACTGCTCCGGCAGCATCATAAGCAAGAGAGCGTTTCATTGGCTGCTAGATTAGTACACACCCTGAGTGCAGGAGTCATCAACCACTTTTTACCATTTTTCAGGACATAAACTAAAATACCATTAAGAATATCTTTAAAAAAAACAAAACATTTTTTGAACATCTTTTTAAATCATTGTTGGGCTAGGTACTGAGTATAGGTCACTCATTGCACAAGACGTGATACAAACATTTAAAACATCAATTTTGACTTTTGCTCAACTGTTATTGGAGCACAGAGCCAAAAGGGGCGGGACTTAAGAAGGGTCAATTATGCCTCAGGTCTTAAATCAGAGGTTTCAGGCAATATTTCTCAAGGTGCACACTCATTCACACATATATACAATATACGTGTGATTATACAACACAACATAAGAGCAGCAAACACAATTACTAAACACATGTGGACATTGTTGATAAGAGACTGTATAATGTGTTATTGGCTGTAATAAGAACACTAAAAAGGAAGCAGGGGCACAGTCAGAAGAGTACAGTGACTGCAATAGACTCCTGTCACCCAAGGAGAAAGTACCAGACTCCCTTCAAAAAATCCCAGTTTTGTGAATTGTTGAGTTATCGGAAGCACCAACTTTGTGAAATGCTGCCTATGACAAATTGGTATTTCTCTGTCTTGGTGTGAATATTTCATATTGGAGGCACGATCGTGTACTTGTTTTTTAAACCATTATATTGTGCTTGAGCAGCATGGATTGGACAGTTGCTGCAGCCAGTGTTGTCACACTTCACAAGAGCTAGCTCCAAGTTAAGTTTTCTAGATTAAAATGAACTAGTTCAGTCCAAACTTGAATGATAAAACTCAGTGTTGAAAATCTGATGAAGACAGAAACTGTAACCCTATGCAGACACTAGATCTGATGTCTGCCTTTAATGTGTGTCCACAGGTTCTGGCGGTGGGAGGAGTGGGCTCTATAGTTAGAGTCCTGACTGCCAGGAAGACCGTCTGATGGTCCATCTGTCAGCAGACGTTAGTCAAACACAACAGACCATGGGAGCTGAGCACAGGGACAGGCCTTTCCTCTTTCTGTTCTTGGACATGATTCCCATTTTTATACTGAAGCCGGGCGTCTTCCTGATGCAACTCTTTCCTCTTTTTCTTGTTTCTGCATTCACTACGTTCAGTCATACCTCTGGGATTTAGAAGTGCTGGCAGCGAGGCAGGGGAGGCGCTGGCACCTCTAACTGCGTCTGCCAGCTGCGCAGAGAACAGGCACATTTCAGATGCTTCACTTGGACACATTCTGTCCCGAACTGCTTCACAGCTGCTCTGACGCCTCTCCCTCTCTACTCTGCTCCTTTCTTCCTCCCTTCTTCTTCTGCTCTGAGGTTGAGGAAATGGGAAAGATTGGTTTTGGAAGGAGCCACATAGACTGTTTCCCTGCCTTTTGCATACTGGGATTGGAGTGCTTTTTCCCTTAATCATTCTAACTTTGTTCATTTTCTATTTTTTTCTACTCACACCATTGTTGGATTGTGTGGAACCTGGCTTTCAGGTTATAGTGCTTGTTTTTTATATCTGAAATAAAGAGAAATAAAGCGCCATGAATATCCACTGATTACTTTGCTGTCTTACTACTTATAGGTCCAGTGTGTAGGACTTAGTGGCATCTAGTGGTGAAGTTCCACATTCCTCCCGTCACCTTCCCCTTTCCAAAGGATAAGAGGAGAAACATAGCTATGAATATTGAATGTTACACACTGGACCTTTAATGACTTTATACTAATAGGTGACAGAGAGTTAAGTAATGCTGTTAGTGATTTAGAGGACAGACGCAACTGCACTCTGTGTTCCATGTTAAACACACACGCACAGGCACAGGCAGTTTGGTTTGTGTGTTTGTCGCTCTCTCTTCAGCTACAGTATTAAATGCATCAACAGGCTCAGACTGGCACATTGACAGGTGTGAAACATGTTTGACAAAATAATCAGAACTCAAAGTCCACACATCTGTTTTTAATAGACACAACTGAGCAAGTGAGATGCAGATTTTGTCAAATTAACAGACAGGAGCAGTGCGCACACGAGGGCGGTGTGTAGGTTTGAGAAACTGTGGTACATCCTCACAAATATTGGCTGAATTGAACACAGAGAAATCATTCAATAGACTGCACTCTTTCTTTAATGTAGTGAAATAATTATTCAGGAATATGACAAATGCTCCGCTCATCAGACCACCTGACTGAATATGGTCCATTCGTTGTAATCATCAGCTACCACTGCCCCTGAATGCTGCACGTTATGACGGTTGGATAAAAATAAACAAGTCACACTTTAACTGCCAAATATGCAACTATAAATGCTGCTGACATAAAACAATCTAATTTTTTGTAACAACAGCAGAAACCAGGTGTCATGGTGACACAGAGGCTGTACTGAGGGCCAAATGTTGGGCCACCAAGTCCTCAGTTCATACGCACAGAAGCACCGTCAGTTCACCCAGTCACTCATGATTAGTGTATCCGCCCCCTGGTAGTCGGTGGCAGCAGCCGTGGCGGTGCCTGCAGACCACGTTTGACAACTTCCATCCTCTTTTGCAATACTGCTCATCAACGTAAGGAGATGCATGCAAACTTTACATTTCTCTGCCACGGTACAAAAGAAAAAGAAAAGCCTATTGTTTTCCTTACACACAAACTGGGGCACGGTCTCGCCCACAAACAGAAAAAACCCTGTTTTGCTGTAATGGTGGTAATTAAAGGCTGCAACAATTAATCAATGCCAACTATTCTGATAATTGATTAATCTGTTCCTCCTGGAAGTTGCAATGGCAACAGTTAATGCAAAATCTTTTCTGCACATTTGACTTTCAGTCTTTTACCAGTCAGTCCCCCGTTTACGTAACTTTGAGCCATGTGTCAACCTACTAGCGATACGGTTCTCACTGGAACCAGTTGCCTTTCATTTTTAATAGATACAATAACCGATAATTACCTGCTTCTCGTGGCTGATCCCGATGACAATGGCATTGAGGTGTGGACAAAACAAGACATTTGAGCACCTTGGGCTTTGTGGAACATTTTTCAAAACGTTCTGACATTTTATAGCCCAAACAACTAATACATTAATTGAGAAAATGATCGATTGATCTGTAATGAAAATAACTGTTAGTTGCAGCCCTAATATGGTTTCTTGTGGGCGTGACAATGTACCCAGTCAGATGTGGAATACAATGCGGCAGTAAAATAACAGGACATTTCTGGTACAAACAGGTTTGGCATCACATTCGCTCACACACGCTTCAATTGTCACAAATGTAAAGGGCTTTCTATTCTTGGAGCTTTCAGGCTCCTCAGTTAGCTACATGGAGACTGAAACAAACCGTAATAATACATTTACCCAAACCCTCGCTGTGCGTCTGTCCTCAGAAACACACAAATGGACCCTAATGTATGAAAATAACCCAGTGACAGACGATCACCTTCCACTGGGGCTTAAACAGCAAGGGGAGTGGGTTTGTGGAGATGGCCAATACTTTAATGGTCTATGGTGCTGCAAAAATACCCTCCCAACCCACCCCACCCAACACACCCCACCCAACACACACTCCTTCACTCCATGTTACAAAAGACATTTATAAAAGGACGAGCCATAGAGAGCAGCCACAGATAATAGAGGACTTTTCCTACAGGCAACAGATCAAGACAACAGCTACGAGACTCACAGTTCAGGGTTCCCCTACGAGTCCGAAACCCCCACCAGATTACACAAACAGCACTGAGACGAGCCCCACTGACGGTGACTGTTGCTGTCATGCGTTCATACTGTCGGTCAAAGAGAAACCAGAGCTCCTTTCGCTGGGTGCTCTCCCTTGTTCCCCGTTCCAGTGATAACTGCAGCCATTCAAAGCTTCACCATTCTATAGTTTTATTTGAAAGACTAAAGAGACATGTAAAAAAAAAATAGAGAACACTCAAAACATCAAAACGGTCAGGTTCTTCAGTGTGAAAGCACATCTTACCGACTAGTATTCATGTGGTTTAACAGGTGCTTTCTCAAAGGCCCCTGTACACACTGATAACAGCACGGCACACTGTGCCAGATAGCTCTGATAAAGTAAAAGGTTGCTACCTGTGTCTGACTGCGAGATCACTTTAGAGGAATGTCTACAGAAGCAAAGAAAGGGCAGGAGTAATTCGAACTTCATAAACAACTTAAACCTAATTGTGAAAATTGAATCAGTGCTGATTTACTTATAATAATTGATGTGGTTTGTCTTAAAAAGAGCTCATTTCAAGTGCAATTCCAAACAGCTGTCAGGGTTCACAAATTCAGACGGAACATTCAAGTGCCAAATATTCAAAAACAGATATATTAAAGCTGCTCAGATTCAAATAGTTATTTCCAGATACATTTAAAACTGATTGTAAAGTCCCCTCCAGTCAGAAATCAGTGTGTCTTCTTGTCCCTACAGTGTGCTGTTTGAATGATGTGCAGAGTTTGACTCTAGAAGGATGTTTTCACATTCATCTGCTGAAAGTGGAAAGTTTCTCTGTGCTCATTGAAAAGCTGATTTTAATTTTTATGCAACTTGTACAGTGTGATGTAGAAACTTGAAGCCACCAGTGCACATCCACTGAGAATGGACTTTACAGTGAAGGAGGAGACATCTTGTGTCCAGCAGGAAAACTTATGAACAACATTTGCATATTCAGAGATTCTGGAAGTTTTAATGAGGTAGAAGGAGGAGATTACTGTTTAAGGATTAAAATGCAGAAATTATGCTTTTTTTGTAGGAAAAAAACCCACATTATTGTTCCAAGCAGACTATTTGTGTATGTGTCTTAATCCATGTCTGGAGGGGGTCTTTAAAGTCAGATCAATTTGATTGGATTGCATTGGTGGAATTCACAAGGAGAAATTTAAACTTAAACGTTCAGAATTTAATTTTGTCAGTCGTATGATCCAAGAAAGACAAATTCAGATTAGACTAGAAACCCCAGACTCTGAATTTGTCAAGAAAAAAAAAAAAAAATTGCAAAACTTGAAATTATCTGAATTTTCAAAGAGGGGAATCAAACCACATAAATCCACATCGATGGTTCTAAAAGTGAAATATTTCAATTATGGCCTTTCTTTGCTTCCATATGTATCAGATTTATCTTATATAGAGTTGACAAGCACATGCCCATGTTTGTGTATGTGTACATGTCAATAGGGATTTAAAGTGTATCTGCCGAGCAGTCCCATTTTGACAATATGGTCCTACATTCTAGACAGGGGGTCTCCAGAACTCCAACTTTGATCTGGCACAGACCAAAATCACAGCGTACAGGGGCCTTTGCTGAAGACAAATATAGTATAATACAATGTTTTTACTTGGACATTGCTGGTTGAGACTGTGAATGGACCCTGGATTTCAGAGTTGGAGAGAGTCTACAACCACTGTTACTGTAGCAGTCCATTATCTGTTTGATTTAGCTGCTGTACTGATCTGCTACCTTCTACAGAGAGAAAGATAGAAAGAGACACAAAGATACAGAGAATATAAAACAAGGTTTTTTTCTTTTTACAAGAGTCCTTTAGAGGGTTTCACCAACCCGTCCACCTCCTTCAGACACACACACTCCTCTCATCGTGTTTGTGTGTGCGCAGGTTTAGTCAAGTCCATGTGTTTACTTCCTACTGGTGAGTGTGTATGTGTGTGCGTGTGTGTTTTTGTGTGCGACTACTTGTGTTCTTTAGTCGGAGCGAAGTAGAGCTCCATGGGTTTGTTGACCTTCCAGTACTTTTCACTGACCAGCTCCAGGGAGAAGGAACCGTTCAGGACCTGTGAAAAGAGTTTAAGAGTTCAAACATCCATTTCCTGCTCTGCACCCCTCACCTTCTATAACCGACCTCTTTCATTTGTCAGGATTAGCTGAGCTCAATCTAATGCAGAGCAGATGCAAGACAAACTAGAGAATATCTTCTGCTGCAACCTCCAATTTCTCAGCTGTTTACTTATTTCATTGCTTTTATTCTCTTATTTTAGTATTTATTTATATCAACATGTTAATGGCTATTGCCTGCGATTAATCGCATTAATGTCATAGTCAACTCGCAATTAATCGCACATTTTTATCTATTCCAAATGTCCCTTGATTTCTTTTTGTCCCATTATGTTTTTCTCATTTTAATGCTCTTATCAACATGGAAAAGTGGATCGGCTTGCTTTGTCCAAATGTTGTTTACTATTGAAAACAACATTGGCATATATTGTAGTGTTCAATTTCACACTAACATTCTCACTTGGAGCAAATAATCTCTCACACAATGTAACACTGTCCATCAATAAAAGGGTGAAAAAAATACTTTGTCACACAAACAGCCCCTTCAACAGCCCTTTCTAAGGGATCAAAACAGGGTCAAAATAAAATTACAAAGTGCACATGTAAGGTAAACTAGGACTCAGCCTATAGTGTAGTTAAACCATGGCTTAATACTTTTCTCAAGTTTGCTTTGAACATAGCAGTCAGGCTACTGCTCTTTATTCACCAGAGGCTCAACCCAGCCTCTTATTTCAGAAAGAATGAACAGTAATGGTTACCAATAAAAGGTAAGCCTACTACTTCTTTGCTTTGAGCCAGTTACTCAAACAGACAAGCCTGTTGACATTTTCAGACAACAAGGAATCCATCCATTTCGGGGTCTCGCGCTCGCCATCCACTCAAAACGTAACGTCTACGACTCTTAAACAAGTGTGTGCGGCCTGCCTGTTGTTTTGTTTCCGGTCTAGCTAGATCCAGTGTGGTGTTGTAGTTTTTCTTAATAACGCGTTAAAATGACAGCACTAATTATAATTATTATTATAATTATTATTATTAACAGTGCTGGGGTAAATTGTTATTTATTACCATTTGAGCTCCTTCTCCCCAAAATTCAGACTTACAACCATTCAAATCCAGTTTTGTTCATTAAAATCAAAGTAATGGAATATTTCCAGCTGCTGAATATTACATTTTCATCTTCCAAACTAGTTTCCTCCACGATTACAATCGAATCTTTGCTGCCAGAGGTGGTAAATGGTAAATGGACCTGTACTTGTATAGCGCCTTTCTAGTCTTCCGACCACTCAAAGCGCTTTTACACTACGTGCCACATTCACCCTTTCACACACATTCACTCAGTGATGGCAAAGTCCATCGAACAGAAACTAACATTCATACATTTGATACCCATTCATACACATTCACACACCGATGCACAGCCTCGGGAGCAATTTGGGGTTCAGTATCTTGCTCAAGGATACTTCGACATGTGGCACCAGGGGCTGGGGATCGAACCCACAACCTTCCGATTTAGGAACGACCCGCTCTGCCTCTGAGCCACAGCCGCCCTAGGTGGCTGGCTGTTCTTCATTTGATACCCAGCAGTGTTTGCTATGAGTTAAGGACGCATTATACATGTATATGTATATATAAAACTAATCAGTGTGTGTGTGTGTGTGTGTGTGTGTGTACTCACAGTGAACTGGTTTCCAGCAGTAGGTATGTAAATGGTGTACTGTTTCTCTGAAGCTGCCTCCACATTAACAGGACTGGCCTCTGCGTTTCTCCTCAGTTCCTCCAGAGCCAGTCTGACGGCCAGGTATTTAGACAGGTGATCCACGGTAGCGTTGCCAGACGTCTTAATGTAGCGAGGGACGAACTCCACACTGCGGACACACACGTTCAAGCATGCATAAATGAGCAGGGTAGGCACAGTTGATGAGTGGTGGGGTGATCAAGCCTGATTTCATTAGTCCTACGTAGGCTCAGTTTCAAAGTTCAGACACACCTCCATAACTAATGTTTTATGGTGCTTTGTTTTGAAACTGCCTTGCAGGAACAGTTCCTGCTTATGTCACAGAAGTGTCACAAGTTGTCAAAACCAATATTCCCACATTAGCTTTAAAGTGTAGCTACTACACCAGAGAAATCGGACCGTTCTTTATGCCTGCTGTATTGTGGCACAGTTAAGGCACTGGTATAGTTAGAAAAGTATCAATTATTCCTTGGTATTGGTTCATCTGTTATTTGATGTCTGCTGTACAGCAACCATAAGGAGTTTAGTCATCCTTTTTATTTGTGAGAGCAGTATGAGTTGGAGCTGTAGGTGTGTGACACTACCTGTTGTGACCGTCGTCTTTCTCCATCAGGGTGGGATGTGGCCTGAACACCAGTTCTATTTCGCTGGCGCCGCCATCGATCACAGAGTCCCCGCCCCCGTTCTCAGCAGCGTTGTCCATGTCTAAACCGCTGTCGTCGCTCGTCTTGGTGCGCTTAATGCTCGGACCTGCCTCCTGGAGGGAAATGTTCAAATAGATAGCGTTTGAATGATGGCAAAAGTGGTCACATCATTACAACTCACAGTAGTGTCTAATGTTTTCCACTTGTACCGCATGTATTTTGGCTGCACTGTAGTGTACTTTAATGTCAAAGTTAGTACCTGGTACACTGAATGCATATGTGTTTGATAACATGCTAAACATCATAACACACCTGGTTGCTGTGGACAGACGCATTGCTACAGTGGGAGGAGTCTCCGTTGTCCTCCGCTCCGCTGCCGTTCTCCACTGTGTGTCTCTTACCGCGCTGCAGTCTGACAAAAACAATTGCAAATTATACCTATTAAGCAGACAATGTTTGAAGAGCATCATCTACGTGTCGACTGACAGATTAATAACTGCCAACTATTTTGATAATCTATTCATCGTTAAAGTAGCTGAATGCAAAAATGCCAGAAAATGCTGTTTTCAGCCTCTGAAAAAAAGGTGATTTAACTGCTTTTCTTTCATTTATATCATATTACAACAGAATATCTTTGGGTTTTGGGCTGACAAGACATTTAAAAGACACCACCTTGGACTTTGAGAAACTGGGACGACCACTATTTTCTGACATTAATGTAGAAAATAATCTGCAGATGAATTGGTGATGAGAATAATCATTAGTTGCAACCGTAGTTGAGATTGCGTTGTGTACCTGGTCATAGCCTGTATCTTCAGCCCCTCTTCTATGCTGTGGGACAGGGCTTGCTGGTTGTTGTGTTTGCTGATGCGGGCCAACACTCTCTCCTGGTGAGCTTCATACTCGTCACGGCTGGGATAAATCTTGCCTGATGAGTTAATATAAGACAAACTTATGGAATATAATAATAAATTAATTAATATTTGACTCACTAAACTGTGACAACTATAAATTAATCCAGATGTGAACCTCTGTGAACCGTTGTGTGGTTACTTACTAATCAGAGCATCAAAATTAGGGTCTGGACGCAGCGACCTCTTGGACACCAGCTTCTTACGACAGGTAGGACACTCTTTATTACTGCAAAGACAGGGAGGACAGTTTGAAACTCTCATCTGTACCATCAACTAAGAATCCTACTATTAATGCAAAGCAGGAGTGACGGTGCTGGTATTGTATGAAACTACAAACACATCACATCAGTTGATACCATCTTATGCTAGCTTGTCGGGATGGGGGCTAAATAATGCTCCATAGTTAGGCGCTTGAAAAACCTTTAATTTTTAAAGTAATCCCATGACCTCTGACCTTAAGATATCCAAATGAAAATGGGTTCTATGGGTACCCACTAGTCTCCCCTTTAAAGACATGCCCACTATATGTTAATAATTTTTTGCACATGGTATAAATGTGCATGCTAAACAGCATACATTAGGGATAAGTGGAAAGCTGAGAATGCAATACTAACTGTATTCATGTGTAATGACGTTTGTCCCCATAGCAGCCATTTCATTGTAGTGAGACCATTTTTTTGAAACTTGACTTTACTGTACAAAACAACTTGTGATAATACAGCCTCATGAAAATGTCAACAGTTTTTGATACCAAATAACAGCATGAAGTTTTCTACAGTGTTCCTCAAGGTCTTGCTGTCGTAATGTGGCATTTTCGAGGGGGTTTTGGCAATTTTTATCAATTTTCAAGTGGTCAAGATGAAATTCTGCACCAAATTGTGTCAAACCAGAAAATGGCTGCCACAACTTGGGAATGGCCATTATAATTACACTTCAACGATAATGTCCTAAGCCCTTATACACTTTCAATATTTGAATAGGTGCCTTCAGGTTCCCAGCTTTCATGCAATGTATATCACTTTATATTACTTATATTTTGACTTGCAAACAATACACTTCCTCTGAAAAACTAAATGAGAAGAGTCAAACCTCAATATGCACAGGTGCTTAAGGCTACATGTGGGTACTTTAGAGCAGACAATGCATAACTGACTGACACAAACATTTTCTTTGGCATTTACTTAACAACCTTTTAGAGAGTTTGTGGTCAAAAGCACATTAGAACAAATGTCACTGCCTGCAGGCATAAGAGAGCCGCAGACTCATGAGTAACTACTCCTCCAAGCTGCTCGTGTGTTTTTCTGCGCTGACAAACAGTGTAATAACATGTCATTTGACATGATTTAATGGTTGATCACAGGAGCTTGTCCAGAGCCAACATGTGTAGAGCTGAGTAGACCCCAATTTAATTGTATGGGCTAATATTAGATGAATACATTATTTAAAGGATATGTTTGCATTTTTTCCAATACTCACGTTCCCATATGTACATTGAAACAGTTGGTGGTCGCTGTAATTGTTCCTCCTGTCAATTCTTGCAGTGAGATCCCTTTCTAAAGCAATTTAAATGTAAGCAATGGGGGACTAAATCCACAATCCTCGTTCTGTGTAAAAATGACTTCTCTTTCAGCTAAGATTTATTATTTGCACAGAAATATGACACTGAAACTGCTTTAACAAGGGGTCTCTTTGTAGTGTGAATGGACATGAAAAACCATTAATGCTAACTGTCCCCATACATTTAAAAGTACACTAATTCACATAGCTCTCTCACTATTCCCACAGTTGTTTACACACTTTTCAGTTCTGCGAGCTCCAGTACTTAAGCTTTGCAGTCGGAGCGTTGGATTCTCTCTACATTTATCTTGTCTGATTGTAGACACTCTCCCTTATCTCAGAGGTCACTGCTACTCATTCTCTACAGCTCTGACATTCACAGAACTGAATCAGCTGGTGTTCCCACCCTCGGGTGTAGCAGAAACCTGAATACCACTACAGGGACAGCATGGGCTCACTTGGTTTTCTACTGCATTAGAGAACTCACCCAGATCTCAATGCTGTGATGATACAGTCAGCGCAGAAGCGGTGCAGACATTCTTTGGTTGTCATTGTGTTCTTCAACATGTCCAGACAGATGGGACACATAAGTTCGCTGTGCAAGGACCTTGGCGACACTGCTATCTCCAGTCCATCTGTTATAGCCTCCTGTGCCAGTACGAAACAGATCGAGATGAAGGTTAGTACGCACAAAGATACATCCAACTGTGGAGAGGTACTCGGTTGATACAGATCACAGGTGCTAAAAATCTCACAATCACAGCAACTGAAGAGTCATCATTTTGGATATTGCACTCGTCAGTGTTCTATTTTCAGGAGCATGGGGGAGCTCCAGATCTGACTGGGACTGTGTCACAGTGATAGTTATATGAACTGATTATGTCATTTTTTGGTACACGTCTGCCAGAAACACAAGTCAACATGCTGTGTGATTAGGAATGAAGACATGAAAATTTCATGTCATGGTTATCTTGGCCAAAATGACTGCACCTTTAAAATGGTACTAAAACCTACTGGAATCACTACCTTAGATTTTACATATTTATTATATCCATTGAGAATTAATCTCTTATGGTGGTGCTGATATCAGTGTTTTTTCTCACAATAATACTGTATATCATCCCATCCCTATGTATGATTGATAAAAATCTGTTAAAACAAAAACACATTAAGGGTGCTCCAATCAGGGTTTTTGTTTTTAACAATCACTGAAAGCATAACAGCGGACACCGAACACTGACCACTGGGTCTATTTAAAGTCTGATTTATTGAACTATTCTTAACAACACTGTGTATTAAGTATTCACGTTAAGAGATGAGAAAGTATCATGAATTAACAACTGTTTATTTACTGGCAAGCAACATATTCCACTCTCTCTCTTAGAGATACAACTTAAACCAGAGCAGCCTACACTGGTTATTGGGAGTACTTTAGAACTTAATAAATATACAGTGTTTCCCACAGAATAACTGTAGCGTAAAGTAATTTCTTATTCACCATTTTAATTGGACTTTATAAGCTTATTTTAAGGTTGGTGGAAAAACTACTTTAATGTGCTTCGTCCCTTCTCAAACAGAGCACCCTGACAAACCATGGTAGGAATTGTTACCTGTGGTGTTCTCTGTAGCTCATACAGACTCAGCTCCCAGGTCTTACTGAGGGGTTGGACCCCGTTGGTCTGAACTGTCTGAGTCATCACTGCAACACTGAAACACAAAAAAAGTTAGTGGGAATTTTTGGGTGCAGATAAATGGACTGCACTTTTAGCACTTCTCTACCATAGCAGGAAAAAAATACTCTGAGACACTGACACTGACATACGACAGGAGGGATGGAACCACAGACCCTGAAATTAATAGACAACCCACTCTAGCTTCTGAATAATTTAATTTCATTCATTTAAAGTTATGAGCACTGGGTTAATGTAAACACCCTTCTATATAGTAGCCCTGTTTTATAAATCAGTGTCATCTTTTTCTAAATTTTACTTTGGTCATGGCTCATTTGGATTATACTCATTCTGTTTTGTCTTGGGCATTCCATACACCAAAAAACTCAGGAAGTTAGATGTGAACAAGCAGCTTCCATTACAACATACCAAGCATGTCCTCGATAAAAAAGACAAGTATGAGCTCAGCCTGAAGTGAGGTTGTCAAAAGGATCAATACCACGTTTAAAATGATTTAATAGTATCATTCAATAGTATCGAAAGTACTAAAGCTAAAGTAGAAAACAGATCTACAATCAGATTTTCAATCCAAGGCTACACAGATTAAACAATTGTAGTAACAACAGTATTTTTTTCTGTACAAACACTGTACTTAAAAAGAAAAGAAAAAAAATATTATTTTTTTCCCCTTGTTGCCGTGGTATCAAGTATCTTTTTTAAACTAGTATTAGAACCCACCCGATATATATCATAGCATAAATGTTATCAGTAGGAATATTTTCCTGGTACTGATGTTTAGCCATTTATTTTATTTGTATTTATTCTTGATTTTATCAGTGTACATTTCTAGAACTGGTTGACAATTAGGCCTATATGTTAAATTATAATAATAATATTTAACTGAAATATTATTTAATAAAGTTATATGTATTCTAATTCCAGCGCAAAAAAAATCGCTGTATCGACTGCTATATTGGTAACCAGTGATTTCCCCCCCTCTACAATCGCTATTGGACTCAAAAGACCCATATGAGCCAGGCTAAATAATATTTTATCAAAGTTAAATTCTGGAATTGGGACCACTTTAGCCAAGAGAAACTATTGAGTCCATTTGTACAGCTGGTGGTGGCAGGTCAGAAGGCTTACTACAGTACAAATCTGGGGCCACATATTTGTGTGTTTGTTATCCACAGGCCTATTTTTAGGAAACGGTTGTAGTGCAATGAATGGACATTTTCATCACTGAAATGGTTGTGAAATAACAGACAGATCTGATTTTCAGCTGTACACATATCCTTGAAGCTTACTGATCAAGTTGACCCCATTAGTGAGAAACTATATTTCAATAACACATTTAAGAATTGGTATATTAAACAGTGGGGATCTATATTTAATAAAACAGAAGTATTTTATTTAGAGCAGAAGCACAAATGGAGGGGGAGAGACACCAGCTGCTTCTAATTTTATTCAGAACATCTGAATCTGACAAAGCTGCTCTTCATCATGGCTGTTCATGAGTATCTATATCCATGTTCACCATTTCTCATCATGTCTCGTTGTTTTTTAAAGTAAGACTAAACACTTTAATATGCAATCTTGAATTATTCTATTTGCAATTGCCATGCATTCACAAACATTTGTACATTCATTGTGGAAAAATGACAAACAAAAATTACATCACCAAAGGAAACGTACTTGACGCTACTCAAAAAGGTTGGGTCATGCTTGTTTAAATACATAACTACTGCACTACATTTGCATTGGCTCTGATTGGTTGTTTTCATTCAGGCCCGGTGGATTCTTGCATAAGCCACCAGGAGCACTAGAAGGAGCCAGAGGAGGTGCAAAATGCAAATATGACCAAATGTTCATAAAAATCACCTACTGCAGCTTTAAAGTTGCTTAACAATGTTACAGCATTATCCATCTTTAAGTGAAATCCCAGGAATAATATATTGCTTATTCCACAGGAGTAAATAAATATTTATCTTGAGAGCTAGAAAAGTGATTTTTCCAAATACCATAACTCAATTCAGTTCAACGGACAATTCAAAGAATTGTTTGGTTTTTGATGCCGCTTTGTCGATGCCATCTGAGACCTTGGGGCGGTGCATAGCTTAAATTCATGACCAAAATACCTTGGAGTGAACCCGGGGTAACCCACACTGGGTACTGGGCCTAATGCTATCAGCCTTTAAGACAAGACAAACAGATAAACCAAGAAATCTGAGTGTCAACATTTCAACTGCACCCTCAGATTGCCGCAGTTGTGTGGCCATGCTGCCATACATGTGACAGAGAGGTGAAAGTGGGGGTGGTCCATCAGAAACACACTGGGTGGCTCTAGGCCAACTCATCTTCCCACAGAAGCTTAAAAAACGCCAAGAAAGAGAAAAACCAACAACGGAGACACCAACCACAACTTGTGATTCCCTGTCCCCCAACCACCCTCCATGTCAATAAACAAAGCCCAATGTGTTATCATTACTGACTCAGTTTAAATACATGTTATCTACGGTTATGGGCTTCCATATGAGGATAGTTTTACTAGCTAGCGCAAGACACGGGGCAGCTGTATACTGACATTTGGTTCATCCCTTCTAATTAGCACTAACTATTAATAAAGAGCAGTAAATAGACAGCCCCCGCACACTGATTGCATGTGGAATCCGTGGGGCTCGGCAAATGCTAACTAACGTTAGCTACCACCGAAGCTAGCCAGTCTTCTAACATTACAGCCAAAATAAGCTTAAGATATAGCATTTATGTTACCGACAGAAAAGCAGGCCGTCCCTTCGTGTGTAATTAAATATTACAGCTAACGACACAGAAAGCTAATATCTCAAATATTGCGAGGGAGTCGTGAATGTAATTCGTCGCTGTGACAGAGGGAAAAACAACAACAGAGAAACAGCCGCCGCACCGATCTCCTGAGGTAGGGTTAGGGTAAGGCTTCTGGTACCTTATTTACCACTATTTAAACAGTTGCAAAGTCGAATGCGACCGGTTACAATATACTAATACACACATAACATCAAATTATCTCTAGCTTGCATAAAATATAATTGTTTCTGTACTTACATTTTCAGTTGTGGCTACGAGACGATCCGCGTTTAGGCGAAGGCAATATGGCGGACGCACACGAAGTGATGCAGTCTGGGAAATTGAGGCACTATGCCAAAGGGGGCCCGGGGTCACAAATCAAAAGGGAATGTACACATCCGTTCTCCGCCGATAGATTATTGGTCGATAATTGGACATTTACTTTATACCAATAATAAAATGAAAGCAAATTAATGATTAGCCGATATACGAAATTTATATTATTATGATAATAAAAATTATAGCTGATAAATTATAGGCCAATACTAATAATACCAATTTATTTTAAACATTTGATAGTTTTTAGGTATGTTTGTGATTTGTTTGGGGTGAACCTAAATATTAAAATAAATAAACATTTGAAGAGAGCAGCATCTTTGCTCACTACATCTCAGCCTTTCTCAACAGGTTATGAACATCTTTTTAAAATACAAAACTGTTAAATTATTGGTTATCTTATCGGTATCGACCATGAGGAGAAGGCAATTATCGGTTATCGGTATCAGCTAAATCAGCCACCCCAGCTGCCACCCTAATTTGGTATCAAATGCTGTCAAATCTAACACATTAATTAAATACATTTCAAAAATAACATGTTAAAAAATGTCAAATGAATTATCTGTTATGGCCACATTTTAGACTAAGTGATGAAATGAAAACAAATAAAACTGAATTGAATTGAATTGAAAATAGACATGTAGGCTATTTGGAAACGTCTGAAAATTTGAAATGTAATTCTGGAAAAATAATATAATGTTTTGAGTTCAAATACAAAGTGCTTTACAAAATAAATGAAAAAAAACAAACAACAAAAATAAAATATAAGCGATCATAAAAAACAAAGTTAAAATATGAGAAGAAAAGAGAAGCAAACAACACAGTGACAACATCAAGAATTACAAATCAGCCATCACAAAAGCCTATCCTATAAAAACATGTTTTAAGCAATGATTTAAAAGCAGGCAATGTGCTGACAAGCCTTATGTCCCCGGGCAGGGAGTTCCAGAGCCTAGGAGGCCATGATGGCAAAAGCCTGGTCATCCTTAGTCACCATGACCTAGGGACAGCTAACAGATAGGCTTGAGTATCTCAGGATACGATTGTGAGTGTTAAGAGCTCTGTGATGTAACTAGGGGCCAAGCCATGTTGGGCCTTAAAAGTTATTAAAAGAATTTAAAAATCAACCCAGAACTGAACTGGCAGCCGATGAAGGGAGGCAAGAATTGGGGTTACACGAGAGCTGCAGCAATGAGTACAAGCTGAAGCTGAGCTACTGAAGATTCACTGAGGCATGTACACAGAGCATCGCAGTAGACTAGGCACGAGAAGACAAAGCCATGTATAAGCCTTTCTAAGTCAGGAGAACTCAAAATGGTTTAACTTCGGTGCTATTTCTGAGGTGGAAGTAACAGAATTTAATGAGATCGTTGACATGTTGTTTGAAGTTCAGTTGGGAGTCAAAGGTAATACCTAGATTTCTTGCTGATTATTTTATTTGGTTGCTAATGAGATCACAATACAAGCAGTGGCCCCAAGCCAATTGTTTTATTGATGTATCCATGTACCCCTTTTTTATTTTATTTTTTATTTTATGCAATTATCATTTTATGTTATGTATTTTGAATGGTATGTGCTGATATTGTTTACCTGGATTTGTATGTTATCCTGTTGTTAATAAAAAAAAGATTAAATAAATAAAAAGACGAAGCAAACCCGTTAAAGCATTGCTTGGCAATGGAGAGGACAGATAGTGTCAAACACAGAAGATAGCTCCCGATAAAGCCTAAATTCTGATGGGTGAAGATTTTGGACACTGAAATGAGCTAATCTGAAAAGAAGGGATGGTACAGGAGAGGGAAACTGGTGTATAAATACAACACGTAGAGTCTATTCCCTGCCTCTCTCTTCTCTTCTCACCCCTTCAGAACCTCAGATCAGGGCTTTCATTCATTCAGATGCTACTCTCCTCTGTGCTGTAGTTTTGCATTGTTACCACAAGGAGATGTCAGAGCTCTAGTGTAGTGATCAATTAGAAATGAATTAGTGATGTTAAGTACCCAGTAATTATTGATTTGGTGATCTGCAGTACAAAAGATGTGTAACATTGGCTGGGTGGAAGCTTTTTGGATGTATAAAACCATTGTTTCACATCACCATTTAAATGGCTATATTTCCATGTAAAGCTGCACAAATTGGCAGTAGGGAAAACAGTGCAATAAAAGTGTCAAATCACCGCATTTAAACAGCATAGTATGGTTTCCTAACAATGGAACAAGGAGCCTATCAGCAGATAAAGGATCAAATATTTGGAGAACCTTGTGGAGACACATTTACATTACTGAGGCTTTAAAGGGCTCATACAGTGTACACACATTAGCACAGGCAAATGTTATAATGATAGTAATTAATAGAATGACTAAAGGTTAAAAAAAGATGAGACTGAGTGTGCAGTGGCTCCCATAAGTGCTTCTGGACACATCTTCAGCTGGTTGATGAGAATCTTAGTCAATAGTCAATAGTAATACTTGTGGTTGATTTTTTTAAAAGGATAGCCGCACATATTTAATGAAACACCAAAGAAATCAATGCACAAAACACAACACTCTGTCAACAGACTGATTTCAATTAAGATCAAATAAAAATTTCTATAAAATATTAATTAAATTGTTTAACTTTTTCTTTTCTCTTCGGTCTATGTGAACTGATAAGATCATTATTGAGGTGAGGAATGTTTCCCTACAGGGGGTCATATGTCGATCAGTTATCTTATTGGTACCTGCCAAGAGAAGCAGGTAATTCTTGTTTATTGAAAATCCATATTGTACATCCCTGCCTAGTAGAGCAGGGGTGGATCTAGGCTGCCACCCCTAAAAACTGACCAAGCATTTACTAGGGTGGCCGCTGCCACTCCATGCCACCTGTATAGTTCCGATGCCACCCTCTGGCCACCCAATCAATATTTCTCTAGGTCCGCCCCTGTAGTAGAATAACACAACTTGAAATATGCCAGACCTACAAAATAAATTCTTAAATAAAAAAAACAAACAAACAAAAAAAAACCACCCAGAACAACTCTAACCGAAACAACCAAAATGCTAAAAGCACGAGACCCAAAATGTGAACCATATGAACCAATATCGTGTGTAGTGCGCGCGAGCCCTAGCGACACCAGAAGGCGTAGCTACATCAAAAGGGGGTCGAAATGTGGGAGGAGGAAGGAGGGGAGTGAGGAGGGGAGCAGAGGTAAGGGGAGGGGAAGTGTTGTCGGTCCATGACATGAATGAACCATGTTCGGTAACGGAGGCTTAGCTCTCCCGGTCTGCTCCTTTCTCCTGCTACACCTCCCGGTTCTCCCGCTAACCAACAACTGGCCCGTTAAGGTAAATAGCTTGCAGAACAGTTAGCAGTTTGTTCACCTCTCAGAGCCGCATCCATTAGCAGAGTGCTTAAAAGTTCTGAAGGGGGTAGTAGTTTGCTCCAATGGAGAGTAGTTACTCAAAAGTCTGTCACTTTGATTCTGTCTTGCTTATCGCCAAGGGCACTGTCTAGTTTTCACCTTAAATGAATTCTTGGAGCCGTGTTTCAATTCGGCTAAGATATAATTAACCCAGCAACGAGAATGTGTGAATTAAACTACAGTCCCTAGAGTAGTACGGGCTTCGAAAACCCATTTAAGCATAGTGTAATTGTGTATGTGAAGGTAAGCTAACTGTTACCAAATGCGGGAATGTCACTGTTCCTTCGGCGAACCTCCCAGAACAGTTGATACTTTGTTGAATTAACGCCAGTAGGATGCTTGGATGCATGTTGCGTCAAGGAATGGACGGTGACGGCTTGTAAAACGGCTGTCTGAGAGCTGTTTACATTGGACGATAAACAAGGCAGCAGTGAAGTGACATAAATGATCTAAACTGTAAATGGAGTTTGGTGGACCTTCTCTCCAGAGCAATTATAACGCTGTAGAAGGAGCTTCCTACCACTCTAATTCTGCTTTCCATCACATGAACGTGACCTGTTATAATGTCTGGTTTGTTACAACACTAAAATACTTTCTGAAGGGGGGTGGGGGGACTAACTAACTAATGTTTGGACTAACATAGTGCTGGCCCCACATGGTGTATCTAAAAACTTTGAGATGAAACAGAAGGAATGCTGGCTACTATATTAATATGTTCTAATTAAGAACCTGAAGTCTTTTTTGGGTTGTCTTCTAACTCACAATTTCCACATTCTCTCCTGTACTCCCCTTCACTCTCTAGCCTTATCACCCTCATTTCTATGACAAATACATGCTTCACTCTAGCTTCATTATTATAAACCTACTCTTACAGCAGCAGTAGTAATAATTATGAAAATATATTTTTTGTCGTTTTTGCTGAAACTTTTTCTATAATCCACTGGGCCTGAAAGAAAACATCCTATCAGAGGCCAGAAAGAAGTTTGATTGTTGAGTGTCATTCCCAGGGTCCCAAAGCATCTGTATTTGACGACCTGGGAATGAGACTCAACAATGAACTATCTGCAAGCCTCCAACCCAAAGTTTCAATCTTTCTCAGCTCTGATTGGTTGTTTTTGTTCAGGCCCGGTGGATTCTTGTAAATGCCATTTCTCTCTCTGCCATAATGACAAAAAGTATTTTTTTTAAAAGTTACCTACTTCAGCTTTAAATTAGACATATGTAAGCCTAATATGGTAACTAGCATCAAGAAGGTTCCGGGTTCAAATCATAGACTGTATAATTAGAAATGGACGTAGTCTCCATGGTGTCACCCATAGGTTTCTGAAGAGCCGTTGTGAAGCTCAGTGTGGTCGGCGCTGAGGCGGGCTGGATGAAGCCTGGTTGCTGAGAAACAGACGCCTGTGATGCCACCTGTCACTCAAAGCAGCCACGTCCTTCATTATGCTTACCTTTAAGTCTTAATGTAACTTATGGAGCTGAGTTGTATAAAAAGATTCATTGTCATGAACGGTGAAATTAGTTATAGAGACCAAAAGTGTTTTTTGTACTGGCTGTAAACATGTTTTTAATATGGGGGCCTTATGGAGACTGACTCACTT